GCCCTATCTACCATGACATGCTGCTGAAGACATGGTTTATCTTCTCAGTGGTCTACTATGGAGTAGAACAGTCTCTCTGATTTCCTCCTATTCTATCATAATCACAGAATTTCATAGCAGGAAGGCACCTCAGAGATCACTTAATCTAATCTGCATCTAAAAAATGATCCTTTCTGTTTTTTAGTTCTTGAAGCAAATGGACGACTTTTGAAGAATTTGTGAGGAGGTTATTGGTCTAGTGACAATGGGAATTCTCTAAATTTCCCCTCATCTTTAATACCTTCCTGCTCCTCTCTCTTCTCCTTCCCTCTTACTCCTTCATTTCTCCTTCCTCCCCCCACCCACATATTATGTCTTGATTTGGTCTCTTGGTAATAATTATTTATATTTCAGAAGAAAAGAACAAGTGTCTTTGATCAATTTTTTCCTCAAGGCCTAGGACAACAGTGGAGATTTAGGGGTGAAAAGACAGATACAGCTTGGGAGATGGAGTGGTATGGTGCCAGACTGGGCACGCTACAAGAGTTCACCATTGGGGTTGTAAGGGAAGTTGACTTTGAGAAGAAGCCTCAGGGCTTTTCCCTTCCTTCCTCAATATTAGCTGCAGGGCCTGCCTCCTCAGAATGATCATGGAATGGTCTACAGATTCTGGGAGAATTAGTGAGGTGAGGGTGGCACTATGCATGGTGGCAACACAGAAAGTATGGGAAGGAAAAGAAGAAAAAAAAAGAAATCTCGAAGCCAGGGAAGAGAAAGAAGTTCCATACTGAAGAGAGGGACATCCCAAATTGGTGGTAGCTCTTGTGGCTACTGGTTGTATGACAATTGTTTTGGAGAGAACAGAAGGAGGTCCAGGGTTTATAATTCAGAGGCAGCCTACATGAAGGAAACCTTTAGGAAGTGATGGTTCGCTAAGATTATTTTCTTAAGGGCATGTTATTACACATTTGTCCATTCAATATTTTTAATTGAACGTTTACTTAGAAGTCTGGAATGTATATAGTATCAGTTTACTATTGACTAACAAATCAATAAAAACATTATAAAGTTCCACTTATTCATATCTCAAGGAAATAGAGAAAATTAATTCTGCCATCCAAAAGGCTACATGATAGAAAGCCTGACATTACAGATAAAAGTTTTAAGATACTTCTTGATATTCAAACAAAAAAAAATTAAAAATGTGAATGGGGAGAAATATCAATATATATCTTTCTAAAAGAATATTAAACATAGTATTTTAAAATATATAGCCCACTAAACTTGTCATATCACCCCTGTGCCCCTTGTATATAGTAGGTGCTTATTAAACATTTGTTGATTCAGAACAGTTGCCATTCCATGGTAGTTACCAAAATTCTCCTCATTTTTTTTCTTTAACCAGGCTAGCCTCATCTGTTTTCATAGAGAAATAATATCTGAATTGTGCATCCTTTTCATTTTTTAAATAAGGAATTTGAAATCATTAAAATATGTCTGTATGAGTCATAAACAGCATTGTGTTTAATAATTCATAAGAACTGAAAATATTGGTTATAATAACTTTTAACATTTTAATTCTCTTGATTACATCTAATGAAAATTAAAGCATGTTTTGTCTCTAAAACCATTTTTTGGTGAACATGCAAAAAGTTTTTTTAAAACTGTTTTGAAACCTAAACAATACATATGTGTGCATATGTATATATAATATATATATATAAATGTAATATCTTTGATATTTTGAAATATTTGAAATATCTTTTTTTTCTTTTACCAAAGAAAATACTTACATACAAAATAGCCTTAGATATCATGGGGTAGCATAGAAAGCTAAATTTAGAATCAAAAGACCTGAGTTCAAATCTAGCTCCACTACTTATCCTGCCAGTATAATGCTGGACAAACCATTTGACTTTTGTAGGCTTCAATTTTTCTTATCTGCAAAATAGGGAGGAAGAAGAACTAGATTATTTCAAAAGTCTGGCTCCAACTCTGTGATTTTATCCTAAGTTTCTTCTGTCAACAGCCAACTCTGGACAGAAATTTCCTACACACTTCTCCTCCCCTGTGCCCCAGCAAATCTTTGGAAAACAGAGAAAGTGTATTTAAGTTGTTAGCACATAGACACAATTGATTTAAAATATACTATTTAGGATTATAATATTAATTGTTTGATGGAGTGTTGTTTTCCAAAGATGATAACAGAAATAGAGATTTAATATTGTTCTTGGTTTTGTACAGAAAAAGAATACCAATAGCACTGAAAAGGATACTTAAATCTGATCATATTCAATTAACTGTTTGCTGAATGAAAGAACATGGAAATCAGATTATCCAAGTGATTCATCTCACACTGTGGCATATCCAGCAAAGTACTAGATTTGTAATCAGGGAATTGTTGTTTTTTTAGTCATTTCAGTCGTGTTCAACATTTTGTTACCCCATTTGGAGTTTTCTCCAAATGTCTGTAAATGTCTGATGCTGGATTTGAACTCGGGTCTTCCTGACTCTAGGCCCAGTATTCCATGCACTGTGCTACCTAGCTGGTCCATAATCAGTGAGACCTGGGTTCAAATGCCAATTTCTGACATTCACTAGCTGTGTGACCCTGGGGAAGTTACTTTACCCTGTTTGCCTCAGTTTCTTCATCTGTAAAATGAGCTAGAGAAAGAAATGGCAAACTGCTCTAGCATCTCTGCCAAGAAATCCCCAAATAGGGTCAGAAAGAGTCAGACACAACTGAAATGACTAAACAAGAACAAAATGATTTTGCAAACTTTAAAGTGCTATATAAATGCCAATTGTTATTTTCTTTGTTCTCAATCTATTAGAAGCCCATCAGAAAAAACAATCCAGAGATGTCTATGCACAAACAATAAAAAAGTATAATCATGAATTTAAAATAATTCTTTCTTCTGTGTCCTTTTAATCATGTCTAAGATCTCCATTCCTCTCTTTATTGTCTGGGTGCTGAACACACAGTAACTGAAACAATGTAATGGGAAGAGGTTACATGTACACGTGAGGAGAATCATTAGAGTGGAAGAAGAACTGAATTCATATTCAGGAGATCTGAGGTTATATCTCAGCTGAAACTGACTTCCTGAGTGGTCTGGAGCAAGTCCCTGAATTGCTCTTTAGCACCAGTTTTCCCATCTATAGAATGAAAATATTCAAATAGATTATATAAATCCCTTCTAGCTTTAAATCTTTCGCTCCTATGATTGATAAGTCACTGGATCTGAAAGGCACTGGCAGACAGCCTTGCATACAATAAGTCTTGGGTTAGAAGGGAGCTCAGAAGCCATATGTTCCAACCTCCTACCTAATGCAGGAATCTTCTCTGCAGAATTCTGCATATATAGTCTTTTACTGTCCATCTTCATATAAACTGGTGTTTACCAGTTCACCAGTCTCTAGTTGAACACTTCTAATGATTATGAGATAGGCAACTCGTATCTCACAAGACAATCCATTCTATTTCAGGGGAGTTCTATTTATCAGAAAGTTATGAGGGAAAATACAAATTTGAGGAGGGGAAGAAGTGGTTCAAATTTGTGATTTCATCAGAAATGTACTGCCCTCATGGACTAACAGGGGACATTAAGAGGTTAAGTAACTTTTGCACAGCTTTTGACAGAAGCAGAATATGAAACCAGATCTTCCTGATGGCAAGACAAGATTTCTAAATTCTGTACTATGCTACCTCTCCCAAGTCAAAAATTTACTTCCTTTCCTAGTTCTACCAAAGGGCAGAGAATCAGTCTAAAACCTCTGACAGATGACAGCCCAGCAAATATTTTAAGACAGTTACTGTCAGGTTTTCCTTAAATCTTTTTTCCCTACTAAACATTCCCAGTGTCTTCAACTATTTCCTGTATGGAATTACATTAAGTGTCCTGTTCCTCCTTGAGAAACAGACAAATAAATACCTAGAAAATCTGAAAGTAGTTTCTGCCAATGAATCCGAATTATTCTCCTGTTGCCACTGTCTGGCTTCTGGGAAATGTTCCTGCAGAAAACTCTTAGGCTAGCTTAAACAAAACCCCTCTTACTCTTAATTCAACCAAGATTTAAAAAACAAAACAAAACAGGGGAAACAAAGGGGAGAAAGACAAGACAAAATGCACAAATCAACTTGTAAAGTTATAAAGACATAGAGATTTTCTTCATCTATCTAGGACTACTCGAGGAACTCGATTCCTGAGTCATCTCTCTTTCTGAACCCATAGCCTAGAATACTCCCTAAGCAGGTTATTCCTTTAGTTTTGAACCAGTATCTCTAGCTAAACTGGGGCAATACATTTGGATTTTGATTACTGCAATTTTTAAGCCATGGAGTATGCTTACTTCACCCCTGTACTAATTTTCTTTTTTGCTTCCAATGCTCTAATGCCCTGTTGAAACCTCTCAGTGGATTTTTACTCTAAAATGAAGGCATTTACCAGTTTACTTCAGAACATTTTTTTTTATGTGAATGGGCTGGGTCCTGCTGCTGGCTCCTTTTACTTCCCTATAGTCTCATTACCATGTGGTCCATCCTGTAAATCCCGTTTCTAATCTCATTATATTCCAATTCATTCAACAGACACTTATAATACAACTAATTTCCACCCACAATAAGAGAAGACTTGTTTCATCAGATGGCTCCATTCTATCAACGGTCATCTTAAAACCTGAAGCTGAATACATTATTCCAGAGGTATTAAAAGAGGGTAGATTACAACGAGCCCATTTCGTCCCTTCTGTATACGTATTTGTTTTAAGAGCCTAATTGAGTTAGGGGTTTTACCTCTACTTTATCATACTGCTGCCTCACACGGGGATTTTAGTAAAATTAAGCCTTATATATCTTTTCCAGGAGAATTTTACTTTAAACCACGTCTCAATGTTTTGAATTCAAGTGCGAAGCTTTATATTTATCCTTCTTAAATTTTCTCTCTTTTCTGCCTATCCTTAAAATCTGAAAAAGTTACCCACCCACCTACCAGAAGAGTAGGAGATAAAAAAACACTTACTCAGTAGCATGCCAGCGAGTCACGCACGGCCACCTCCACCTGAATGAGTCTAGCCTGCGGAGAGGTGGGGCCCTCCGTGCCACTTTAACCACAGCTCCCTCTCAGACTGTATATCCCAGTTGTTCTGCAGGCGTCTGGGGCCACTGCTTATAGCAGCTGCCACCCTGCCCAGGGCAGCAGCAGGTCATCTGGGCTTTGCTGAATTAAAAAAACAAAAGCAGGAGCAACTGCGCAGCCGCCCTCAGAACAGGCGACCCCCTCCTTCTCAGGTGCTACTAGGATAACCCCGCCCTTCAGTGGGTAGTGAGTCTACAATGGATAGTGAAGCTGCAGTGGGTAGTGAAACTACTATGGTCAGTAACTTTCCTTTTTTCCCCTCTTCCTTTCTCTTCATCTCCCCAACAGTCGTCTCTCAGTCCCTCCACCCTCAGATGGTCATCCTCCCTTCCTGAGCTCTTATTCATCCTCCGGTGCTGGGCGGTGGCTGCAAAGGGCGCAGTCATCACTGCTTAGGCAATATGGTTGATTGAGGAGGTCTGAGAATGCAGGGGCGGGGGACCTCAGCCTCCTTTCTACTGCATCCACCACCACGCTTTAGGGGAACTGCAACTTGTCAGGCGGGACTAGCCTTTTCTGCCTGTTAAAATCCGTATTAGGCTCCTAGAAACTTCGGAGGATGGCATGCCTACTAGAGCCTATTAACTAGGTGCTGTATAAATGTTTAGCGAGTTGATGGAGGATAGAAACAAATCGCCAAGGCGAGGCAGGGGGTGCTAGGGCAAGCTCAGTTAAACCCCTTTGAACTTAAGGGCTTTGCCTTTTAAAGCTGTTAACAGGGCTGGCGTAGGGCCCCTGTTGAGACCACCTGTTGCAAACTGTAAGGACACATGTTTATTAGGTGGGAAACAACTTGACTGTTGCCTAAAAGATATCTTAGCTAGTTGGTAGATAGATGTCTAACCAAACGCACTTCTGGCTACCTCATGCGCCTGGGACGCGTTTAAAAGAAAGCAAGAGAAAGTTAAGGAGACCACTGATAATTGGAAGTAGTCATGGAAGAAAGTTGCAAAACACCACTGGAGAAGGGAATTTTCTCCATGCAATATAATACAAAATTAAAGGATGAAATAAGAATGACGTTTGCCCAAGGATGGGAATAAAGGAGAGAAACATTATTTGGAGTTCTGACCAGTGCAAATCACCAGCCCAGCCCTCTTTATAAAATGAAATCAATGTTACCTAAAATATGAGCAATAATGATTAAATATTGTTTTGGTAAATAATACTGATTGAGATAATGGGCCGCACTGGAATTATTCCTGGTTTTTTCTTAATTAGAAATGATGCATTTCTAGAAGCAAGTGTCTGTGTAGAAACCCTTATGTGCATAAAGTGGCATTAGTATTGTGCTGTAGGAACAGTTTCTGCCTCCCTGGAGGCATTATCCACCATCCCCAAAGTACTTCTGTAAATTTGAACTATTGACAGGTTTTTTAAAGAATTTATGTCTTCCCAACAATCTTAGGATGCAGCCCCCCAGCTACCAATGGTAATGCAGTGGCTGTGATAAAATGATGTTCAACTCAACAGAAAATATAGAATCAAACAATGCAGCCTTAGATTTTGAAATTTACAGGCATTGTGTTTACAATTCCCTAAGTAGATTCCCAGCAGTGTGTAGTTTAGAGCTCTTCACACAGTAAATTATCATTGATTTAAAAAAAAAATCAGTTTCCTCCATATCTGATGTAAGAACACAAATAAGCAAATATTAGTCACAAAAATAATCCCCTACTGCCACCTGGTGATCAAAAGAGGCCTAGTATAGACTACTTCATTTAGTATCAGTTGATCAAGGGCACAGCAAAATAATGTTGAAAGGGCACTTAGTTCCATAGCAACATTGTTGGTACCTGGCTCTCGGTCATCAGTGATCTCTAAATCACAAAATCAGATGCATTTTTCTCAGTTCTCATCCTTCTTGATCTCAGTGTGGTATCTGACACTCCATCTTCTCTGAGCTTTCATGATAGTTCTCTTTTTTGTTTGCTTTATTTTGTTTTGCATGACAGTAAGTAAATTTTTATTTCACTGGGAGGAATAACTCCATTTTGGATCTCTGAAACTGAAAACTGACCAGTGTCAATACAACATTTAAGGAAAGCCTATACATTTTCCAACAAGTCAACTCTATTTTTTTTTTTATCCCAGACATCTTGTATTTTGTTTGTTTGTTTGTTTCTGCACAGCCAATCATATCTATAGTATGATTGACTCAATCTTGGTATTAAGTTTCCCCCAAAACAGTAATAGTTAACATTAGCATAGTGCTTTAAGTTTTACAGAACTCTGTATATGTATATATTATTTCATTTGATTCTCACAACTACCATATGAGGTAGGTGCTATTATTATTCTCATTTTACAAACTGAGGTTATTTGAAGTTAGGTGACTTGAGCAGAGCCACAAAGGTAATTTCTGAAGTAGGATCTAACTCCAAGCCCACATTCATATATTTTATCATACATACTAAATAATATAGTAGATGAACATGTTTCTCTTTTTAAAAAATTTTGTTAAGGTTTTACATTACAAACATTTATAGTTACTCTCACTTCATGAGAGGTCTTTTGTAACAAAGTAAAACAGTTAAGTGAAAGTGATAATAAACTGAAATCTAGACGTACATGCAACATTTCACATCTGTAACACCATCCCCACTTCTCTTAAAAAAATTAACAGAAATCTATTTTCTCTCTATCCTACTTCTACTCTATTAAAAAAGGAAAAGCTAATCTGTAAAATCATGCATAGTCAAGGAAAACAAATTCCCTCAATGTCCATATACAAAAATCTTTGTGATTCATTCTACAAGTTAAATCTATCACCTCTCTCTCATGGGTAGCATGTTTCATCATTGGTCCTCGGGAATCACAAATAGTCATTCTATTCATCATAGTTGTTACAGCTTTAAGAGTTGTCATTAAAGTGTTGTCAATATTGTCATTCCACATTTATCATTTTCCTTTTTTTTATCGTGTTTGCCACTTTGGTGAGTGTGAGGTGAAATCTCAAGATTGCTTTTAATTTGCATTTCTTTAATTAGTAGTGCCATTTTATGTTGTAATAACCAAAAATAGGATGAAATGATTAGAAGAGAATTTATATTGAAAATAATTACAAAAGCATAAGTTATTTGGGAGTTAACCTAGTAGGGCACACTCAGACCAGTAAAAATAAGACTAAGTTATTCCAGTATTGTAATACTGGCGATATTACCATGATAACATCATTCGATCCACAAAAAAATGGCATGCAAATCCTAGCCCCAAGACAATGTATCCCACTTTGGGGTTGCAGCAGAGGACGTTATCTGGGCCCAGGGACCCTATCCAATAGTACAGGAATGGGCTGCTCCTGTTCATGGCACAAAATCTCAAACCAGGAACTGGAGCCAAAGATGTAAGTAAACAAAATAAAACTCTTAATGCAATGAAGAAAAACTATGGGCTTATAAGAAAAGTATAAATTTAAATTGCTCTGAGTTTTCATCTCATACTTACCAGGTTGACCAAGATGACAAAAGAAGAAAATAACACTTGTTGGAGAGATAATGACAGGTCAAACACAGTTTGTGTACTATTGGTGGAAGAGCAAATTACTTCAACCGCTCTTCAAAACAAGTTACAACTATGGGTCAAAAGTCACTAAATTTATGTCTTTCAATTGAGCAATACTACCCTTAGTATCCAGATAGTATTTGAAAAATTCTTAGGTCAGTGTCTGGCACATAGTAAGTACTTAATAAATGTCTGTTCCTTTCCCCTTGCCCAAGTTACACTTTTGAGCAGGCATCACAAAGGAGATCAGGAACAGATCAAAGGACCTATATATACAATGACATTTTTATAAGCACATTTTTGTGCCAAGAATTGGGGGAGGAGGGAGTCCCAGGAACCTAGCAATTGGGAAATAGTTGATCAGTGAAGAGAGGGATTACTGTTTCTTCCTCATTACTGCCAATAGCATTTGGTGCTACCAAAAGGCAGGTGGGCACAAGAACACTGGGAATGGCTGTGATACCCGGAGTACTTGTTCTGTTCTCTGTCCAACCCTCAAAGTCATCATCTGAGAACCAACTCCTATGGAGAGAGAGATACTAATTCCCACTAATTACCAATCAACTACCATGATCAGGGCAGGTAAATCAGCCTGGCTGAAGTGTCAAAGTACCATGAGAGAGACAGGAAGCTGGGTAATCCAAACAAGTCAAACCACCACAACCCTTGTCCCTCATCTCCCCTCCTCATATATCATCATGGAAACAGCCCAGGATTCTGAACCAAAGCACCTTTGGGATAGCATTACTTTCAGTCCACTGCTATAGCCGTCCTCCTGGGAAACCACCTCCAAATTTCCATGATAAAGGAAGAAACATTGAAACAAAATCAAGATTGAAAAATCAGAACTTGTGAGATATCTACAATTTTAAAAAGTAAAGAAAACAAACAACTGACCTGGAAATCAAGAAGAGAAACAATTATTTAAAAACCTTTATACTTTGAAACTACTACCAAACAAAAACCCCTAAATACCACATTTCAAGTAATAAAGTAGACTAGGACTATTAGAACTAGAGAGAAAAGGTAGAAATAATCTAAAGTCACCACATGAAAAATTCCATATTTAATATGCCCAGAAACACTATATCCCAAATTTGGTGTTTTTGAGTTAAAGGAAAAACCTGTAAGCAGGCAAGAAAAGAGAAATCAAGTCACTAAGTACCATGCATAGCTCAAATTATCAAACAAATTAATTCTGTCATGTGGTTCATACAGGATTCTACCTCCCCAACCTATCCTTCATCCCATGAAGAAAAAGGCATATCCCACAAGAAATAATGGAGGCAATTTCAGCCAATGTTGAGAAAATGTAGGGGCAGTAAGTTGTGGGACCCTGAGATGACATTCCAGTTTTCCAGACCCAAGTAATAGTTGTGACTTTCCATATTTCCATACTTTTTTAGTCTTTTAATTTGTTTTTTTTTAATTCTCTTTTGAAGCATCCTAGAATTTCTTGGCATCGTTCCATTACTTATGAGGTCTCAGTAGAATTCATTATCTTAAAAATAAATATTATCTTCAATTTTTTATACTACAATCATTCCCTATATA